TGCAAATATGCATATATGTATATATATATGTATGAATATATGTATATTAGTTTATATCCCGGAAACCCTAAAACCCTAGAATCGCAATGTTAAACGTCAGTTGGGTGTCAGAAATAAGAATGCCAAGGTTAAGCATCAGACTTAATGCCAAATGGTCGTATGCGTAAGGTCAAACTTAGTGTTCGCAATTTGAATTCGCAAGTATATCGTGCCAGGTATATGAGCCAGGCTTAGTGTTCGCAATTTGAAGTCGCAAGTATATCGCTCCAGATATATGCGTCAGGCATAGTGGTCGCAAGATCAAAAGTCAGACTGAGTTGTTGCAGTCTTTTAACCTGTCTACAACGTATTTACAATATGCATTCAGTATCTGTGTGTCACGTAATTTTTACTTTCACTTTGTATTCTCTATTTAGTCAGTTGTCCATGATTCAATTTGTATTTACTCTACTAGCTAGAGAGAGTTAGTAGTTACCATAAAAAGACCACATATACATAATTTCAATATACTGTCAAGAGTTCAAACACACTCTGACACATGTGATTGTGGTGTGTCTCTAAAATCAGTGATATTTCTAGTTCTAAATAAATACTGGCGGTATTTCTCGAGATGTTTATTGATTGTTCACGAATCACGGTTCTCTGGAATCTGGAGCACCATAGAATCTCTGCTAAATGTACGATTTCCTGGGCTGGTAAAAAGACGTGGCATCGGCAAAAAGTCATGTCAGACATGTTGGTCGGCGTCGGGACTCGGGTGTCGGAGACCTAACTAGTGTTGACCCAATCCCGACTGTCGCAACAACAAACGATATGTCAGACGTTGTCTGTCATTGTCGGATACCAACCCAGACGATTTCCGCTACATACGACTCGGACTGAATCTGTTGTGAAACTTGATTTAAGAAAAAAATGATTTCCTGATCGAGCTGAGACACTAATCCTGTAATCAAGACTTCCAGAGGCCAGACTCAGACGGCCGTGATTTTACTGATTTATTCAATATTCTTGACATCAGCGGCTGATCCAGTAAAACATAATTATTTTAAATAAAACTAACCTACTCAGCGAGTTCCACGAGTAGAAATAATACTTTTCTAAAAAGAAATACAGGTCACGGACTCACGAGATTATTGGTGCAACGACTCCAACGAGCAACCGTGCAACGTCAAACTTGCATCCCCCCAGTTGAACAGTTCCCACTTCCCCACTGCCCACTGTCAGTCTGTCACTGGGGTGCCCAGAGAGGTCCGGAGTAAATAAATATATCTACACACAAGAGTCTATGAGTGAGAGACTAAATAAATAAAATAATAACAGATCCCCCGACAGCAAGTATATGACTAACAGGGACTTTTGTCGTATTTTGCAACATGCATCCCGCATAGCAATGGATTTTATCAAAGCAAAAAAATACTCGGTAGCAAATCGGATTCTGCGTATTAGGGTTGTAGTGTTTAGGATCGAGTGCCTGCGAGAGCAGTGTGGCTCCTTTGAGTAGTGAGAACGTGAGACCGAGTGCCGAGTATGTACTGCCAACTCATTCTCACCGTCTCACTGCCACAAGGAAAAGCAGCACAGATGAGCGGTGAGCGGTGAGCCTGAAGAGTATGATACTGGATACACAACAAGGTGATGTTAAGAGTGATGAGTGATGAGTGAGGTCCGAGCGGCGAGTGCCCGAGCCGCTGCCGAGCATGCCAGCCTCCCAGCAGAGAGGGCCAGATGATTCCATAGGGGCCCAGTGTTGACTACAAGGTACACCGGCACAGTGTCCCACAAACACTGCCCCCAGAGTGAGAGGGGTCACACAACTAATAACACAAGACAACCACAACTCCGCACATGTGTTGCAGTGCCAACTGCCAACGACTACACTGTACTAAAAATTAGTCTAAAAATAATCTATGTAGTATGTAAATACTACGGCCACGGGCCACAGGACTAACCAGTGGCCGGTATCATGCCCATAGGCCCCAGCCCTTAGCGGCTACGGAGCTATGGCCTACGGCCTACGCGGGCGACGCCCTACTATAGTGCTACAGTGCCACACTCCTACACTACAGTCTAAACTCTACAGTCCACAGTTTACAGTTTACAATCTACAGCCTACAGTCCTACAGGCCTACACTACAGTTCTACAGGCCTACACTACAGTTTACACTCATTACTGTAACTTACTTGTGAGTACCGGGACGGCTGACTAGGTACTAGTAGTCTACACTCTACACTCTACGATAACTACACTCTGCAGTCTACAGACACGCGAGTCGAGCTCTACAAGAGTTCAAAGACTACTCTACCTCCAGAGGGAGTCCACATTCTACAACTGTGACTCTATGAGTCTACAGCTACTCAGCTCTCTCTAGTTTACACTCTACAATCTCTTTCTACTACTAGAGAAGAGAGAGAGTATGTAAATATCTCGTCTACAACTTAACATTCTACAGGAGGTGTACATACCTGTACATACACTCTACAGTCTAGTGTCTGCAGACCAGTCTACAGTCTACACTTCACAGTCTACACTACCGTTTACACTCTAGTTTTGCACTAGCTAGTCTATACTCTATTTACAGTCTACACTCTACAGTCTACACTCTTAAGTCTACAGTCTACCGTCTACAATTTACACTTTACACACTATTAGTAATTTTAATTTTAGTACCATATTTTTACACCATTTATTTTAAAAACTACAGTCTGTAGTGTCTACAACTCTACATTCTACAGCGAAGTCGAATTGTGCCAACATCGCCCAATCCTGTTCTCAGTGCTCACTGAGTGCTTACTATAACTAAAAAATCCCAATGCACCGCAGCTGAAGTCTGAAGAGACAACAAGAGAGTGAAGCCTGAGCCCTGAAGCCTGATTTAGATTATGTATGTACTGAATAGTGAATAGTATTAATAATAAAAATACATAAATACAGTGATGAAAAGAGACTATTTGCTAAATAAAAATAAATAAATAAAATAATACGAAGGCTATATTCGATTAATAGACTAATAAAAATCTAAAAAATGTAAAGCTGTAAACAACTTAATGTACACTGTATTTACGTTGAACTCTGAACTACTGAAGACTGAAGAGAGTGCCAACCGCCACCTTGTGGTGGCTGTGCAGTAGCTAGTGTGCCAAGGGCCAAGTGCCAAGAAGAACTAAATAAGAAGTGCCAAGTTGCCAACTGTGTCTGACTGACTGTGCTAAGTGCCGACAATAAATACCAATGAAAAACAGAAGAAGTGTGCCAACTGTTATCAGTTATATTTGAGTTTTTGTTTTAAAATAGCGGAATAAAAACTGGTATTACACTATACAGGAATATTATCCCTATACAGGGAATTCCGACCTTCTACTCCCAGAGTCTCCCACCCTAAGTATTCTATATTTGTATTTTTGTTGAAAAAAGTGACTTTTACATGTCATATACTCTTTTGTTTTTAAATAAATATAATATGCGGAACTGCGTATGTACAATTGTCAATTATACTATTTTGCAGTTGCTTTAAAAAAAAAGATTGTTCCACCAAATCACCCATTTTGACAGGAGGCACGGGACATCAAATACAGACCCGATTCAAGAGCTTGATGGCGGAAAATGCTCACAGTGACCCGAATAAGAAAATCACCCAGACACTTTTTAGATTTCTGACAAAATTTGGAAGTAATGGCCGCTTTCTTGGTATGTACCCTTCCAGTGCGAATTTTGGACTTTTGAGGTCAGAAATCGACATGCCCGGTCATCTCTGAGGTCTGTCAAAGTGCCACGATTTTCAAAACATCATTCCATCAGGCCTAAAAGTCTATTTTAGTGTGTGGTTCATGTGGCCCTCATAACTGGCACCGATCGCTTTAGTAGCAGTCATACATACGTATTTAGTCATATGCCTTATAATACACGATGCCACCATAGGCGGCGACTATGGGATGAAGGTAAAGATCGAAAAGTGCCAGTTCGTGGCGACTACAACAAGAAAACGGTAGACACATATTGTGATGGTTGTTGTATATGCCTTTTTGACCAGTATGAAGATTTTTGAAGCCACAAATATTTGATACAGGAGATATGTGAGGGAAACGACGTGAAAGAGTGCTGTGATGACACATTGGCAGGACTACAGAAGAATGTTGTTAAAGCACTAAACGGAGTTAGATTGGATATAATCAGACTGATAGAGGCTTAACGCTACAGCTTGCGGAGTTTTTAAAGAATACACATCACATCGTCGGGTGCCTGAGAATGTGTACGACATTATCACAGCCGAGATGACAGCCAAAAATTGAAAAGATTGTTAATAAAACAACACTATGTATATCATATAGCGATGTATCTCTTTATTTATTGACGTACACAGGTTATAAGGTATTCAAATCGACAGCCGACTATGTATATATGTACCATATGTGGTTGTAGGACCTAGTATATAATGACCGCTCCCCAAGTTCAGTATTGGCCGTCCCCAACTTGAATATTGGCCGCCCAAAGTCAGTATAATGGCCACTTCAATAATGGCCGAAATTTCACAGGGCAGTTTTAGCTTCTTTTCATCAAAACAATCACCACAAAGAAACCCGATTTTGAGATTTCGAATTTCTTCAATGTGTAAATCGGCTTTTGATTTTTTATTTGGTGGAACATCTTTAAGGCAACCCACAGCCACTCCCCCAGGCGCCAGCGGAGCCCAGGGCCCCAGACCCCAGGCCCCAGTCCGTGTCATAGCATAACTGCTCACCTAAATCCTAATATGGTTTGCGCTTGAAAACATAAATATTTTAAATATTCATCAGTAAAAACTAAAACGTTGCCAAACTTTTACATACGTGATACGACAATAATTTCCTTACTCTCGCATAGCCTTCTGAAAATTAGACATCGTGCCAGGAATATAAATGAACGAGAAATCGAAAGGTAAACAAATAAATAGTGGTTTTAACCGTCGTATCCTGAGTATATATAGTACGTGCTTTACGAGTTCAGTTGCAAGTAACGAGCTTAATCAATGAATAGAATCACTATGACGTTCCAATATATCACGATCAGTGCTTGTCTGTGCGCAATTGCCTCCGCAGCCCCAGCTGTCAACTCGACGTCGGTCCTCGACACCATTTTGTCTCGTGGCGAACTACTCATTGGCGTTACGGGTGACTACATCCCTTTCAGCTTTCTAGCCGATGGAGTTGATATTCAAGATGTTGCCGGCGCAGATGTTGATTTAGGTCGTGCTTTGGCCGCATCCCTTGGTGTGAATGCCACCTTTGTGCAGACATCATGGCCTACCTTATTGGAGGATTTACACGCGGGTTTATACGATATTGGTATGAGTGGTATAACGAAGACTCTAGTGCGCCAGCAGGTCGCTTACCTATCTGACTCGTATATGGATTTTGGCAAGATGGCCGTTGTGCGGTGTGAAGACGGCGATAAGTACGCTTCACTAGACGATCTCAATCAACCGACTGTCACTTCTGTGGCGAATCCCGGCGGTACCAACGAGAAATTTCAGCTCGAACATCTAGACAAGACAAACCAAACAACGTGGCCTGACAACCGATCGATCTATGATCGCGTTGCGGAAGGGCATGCAGACGTATTCGTTAGTGATAGTGTTGAGGTCTTACTGCACGTGGATCTGGATGAGCGATTGTGTGCACCTATTGAGGAGACTTTCACACAAAGTGAAATGGGATTTTTATTGCCACGCGATGACATTTGGCTAAACTACGTGAACCTGTGGCTACATCAGGAAGAAGTAGCGGGTAGCTTAACAATGGAGTCTTTCATCGAGAAAGGTGAAGCACTATATGTGGCCAATATTTAGAGTATAGAAGCTCAAGGAAGTGACTTTAAGATTAAAGTAAATTGAACATAACATATCTGATTTCACTGCTTCAATTAAGTTGTAGTACATTATCAAAAACAAATAAAGGATAATATCAGGAAGAGTGCACATTCGTAAACGACTGAGCTAAGATCGTCCACTCTTGACTATAAACTTGCAGATTTTAGTTGTGCGTATTCAAGACAATATAACAATTTGAATCCAGAAATGCTAGTACTATACTTGATGATGCTCAGAGACGAGTGCGGATTCTTTCTTCATGTGTGCCTTTAAAGCGCATGAGAAATGGCGCCATGTTCATAGTACACTACAAGGCCAAATCCGACATCCTCTATTCTCTTGTGTGTGTCATTTACTATTTATTTTCAATATTTTGCCCTCGGTATTTTTACACAGCCAGACTAATTTAATATCATGTTTTATTGTTGTTGTTTTTTTAAAAACAAAAACATCGGTAAAGTGTACCTTTTTTTTTGGGGGGGGGGGGGGTTCAACAATATATGAAAGTAATTACATGTGATATTCAAAATTCACATTGCGATGTGAATATACTCAGGCACGCAACCATTCAAGCTCGCAGACAAATAACAACACGGAAAGTTCTGTAAAATACAACAGCAAAGATGGCGGATATGAATAACCCAACCCCTTTCGAAAGTTTCCTGCTTTTGGGAGGTGAAACGAAAATTGAAGTTGAAAACGACGCGAAACACAAGAATACGGCTAAATTCACGGTATAAAATATCAAGACTACAATTTTGTATACTCGTTCTCTGTATACATGTGCCGTCTGAGATTCATATAAATCTATCTAATATAATATACATAAATGTACATATAAAT